ACTCCAAGCACTACAGTACCAGAAAGTGTAACATGTCAGGGCCTGAAGCAGCGGGAAGGGTGGGAGGGGAAGGCAGTCTCTGCATCTTGGCACAGCCTTTCTGCCAAACTGGCAACATCATCCCAGTGTCAACAGGCCTGTAGAACGAAGTTTCCATTTCCCACCCATTCTGGCCACTGCTGAGTTTCTCAGCACCCAGCCCTTCCTTAATACAAAAGTCCCCCCTTCTCACCCTTACAGAGGCCAAAATATCTCAGCCTCAGCTGCTGGCTTGGTGCCCACTTGCTCTTGGGGGGGTCCCTGTGCTGGAGGAGCAATGCCCTGGCACAACTATCACGCTCCCTTACCCCAGCTGCAGCAGTTAGTTAGGTGTGCTGCGAAACACTCTCTCGAGGTCTTGCACACAGCTTCCAAAAGCTTGTGAGTCCACCAAGAGCATTTAAACAACCTTTAAAACACTGTTAATTGAAGATAACACCAATGCAATTTTACCAAAAAAAACTGGGGATCTAGGGACACACACACAGCTCGGGCTTAGTTTTACCCACAAAAATGCGAGATTTGGTTAAGTTTCTGCAAAGGAACGCAGACAAATTTCGGTCTCTTCCTATGCCTGCGCCTGCCTGCAGTTACAGAGCTGTAAATCCCACTGACTTTAATAGCACAGTACCTGGCCAAGCGAGGACCACGTGTGCCCAGGGAGGTCTAGGACTAGCGGCGCGCTGGAACAGTGCAGAGCTGCACGGCGGCAGCTTTGGATGGTCAGCGTGACTTCCAGCTGCTGCTCTTGGCTCGCTGCTGCCACTGGCAAGTCAGGCTCTGTTCTGTATTCGTCAGCACCACGGCACGCTGTCATTTCCCTGCCGTGGAAGACAGCAAAATAATCTGATATCGAGCTGATAATCAGGTAGCAGCAAAACTCGATTTAGAGACGTATCACCGTAGAGCCAATAGACTGCGCTAGTTAGTTATTCCTTCCAAACAGCACAGCAAAAATCTTTTGGTTTGATATTGAGCTTTTCATAACCATGTTTTTAGCAATACTACAAATTGCAGTTAAGTGGTTTTTGCTTGTGTCTGTGGCACTAATCTCAGTCTTTGTCCCACTCCAGTTAATAGGCTGCATTATTGGCAGACAAGGCAGTAAGATAAATGAAATCAGGCAGATGTCAGGAGCGCAGATCAAGATTGCTAATGCCACAGAAGGCTCCGCAGAACGACAAGTTACAATCACAGGATCCCCTGCAAACATCAGCTTAGCACAGTACCTCATTAATGCAAGGTAAGTTTGCTTTGTAAGTGATAACGCTTCTGCAAGATTGCTCTGTCTGCTCTCCAGCAAATGTCTGTCCTGGATAGATCCAGAAAGTTGCTTCGCAGTGTCCATTTTGCATAGTATTATTCAATTCCTAATGATTTGTAAAGCCTGTGTCATTAGAACCTGTGTTTGCTGTTGGTTTATATAGAAAGGAGCTTAATCCGGTGCAATTCCAGGTCATGTTGAATGACTAAAGCTGAAAAATCTGAATACTCAACATTAGCATCCACCTAAAATACAGGCGGATAAATTAAATGAAATGACAAATCATAAATTCTTTAGAAGAAAATACTTTTCACAGACCCATTTTACTGTCCTAAATGGCAAATATAGTGAAACAGATTGCAAAACAGGTGTAATTTACTAACTGGAAATTGCCACTCAGAGTTGATATTAAACTGATAGAGCCACGGGATTTATTTTTCCAGAGACAGCATCACAAATTTGTGAAAAGCATTCCCTAATGAGACAGGGTGAGACTATCTGTTTCTCCACTTCTTGGTGCCAGAATTAATGAAAGCACTGGCTGTTTAGCTAAACCATTGCAACAGCTTAAATCTCTTATCAGTTTTTATATGATTATTTTGAAAAAAAAACTAAAATTGATACCACATTTATTTGCAATTGCCATGAGAAGAAAGTGCAAAGCATACAGTGCTCATAGATCTACTTGTAAAGGGTGGACCAAGGCAATATATTGTGGGGAGGGGGAGTATCTATGTATTTTATTGCCTTTTTTTTTCCCCCTTTTATTTCCTCCCCCCCAAATACTGTGATATGAATCAAGCTTTGTGTTTAACTATGTTTGCTGTTAAGGTAGTAGAAAGTATGTGATTTATATGGGGGAGGGGGGGGGGGGGGGGGGGGGGGGGGGGCTGTAGTCATACCAGGTCTACAGCTTCCTATGGTCCAAGCTCCTCTCCAGCCCAGTTCTGCAGTGCACCACTGCAAGCCACTGTAAATGTCTTAATGGAGGAAAAGGATGTTTGCGCAGCTCTGTGGTACAGCAAACGAAAATATTACTTTTTATAATTCGGTTTGAAAGTAGTTTCCTAGGGAAAACTATATTGAGGGGTGGCGTCGTGAAGCTTAAGATAAGCCATTTCCAGAATCCTAAAACAACCTACAGCTCTTTTGATTTATATTCTTTGTAGCAAATATGTCACTTCCGTAAGCCCTGTAATCAAATAAAAATGTGTTCCCTCCTTTAACCCTTAAGGATATGTTCTTCTCTTGGTGTTCAGGGATTCCCCACACATCGAGATGAGAATAGACCCCTTCATTTTTAGTTGCTCAAACACCATATGGCATGCATCTGGATCTCAGAAGATAACAATTTAAGATCTTCAAGACAGCTAAAGCATGCAAATAAAATAATGCACTTATTAATGGAGTTGCAGTGAGCTGCTCACCAGAGACAGAAACTCTAGTGACCTGTTTGACTCACTTTAGAAAAGCCTGTGAACTCTCACACTTCTGTTTATTACTGTTTAATGATTCTTTTGATGGAATGGGATATATATGAGGTCTTTTAACATACTTTTGCAAAGAAGAAAACTTCTCAGCAGTCATATACCACGGATACTCTATCTATACCCTGTGAAACCATAAACAAAATATTTTCTTCCTGTTGAATTTCTAGATAGAAGTCATTTGTTACCATCATCTACAATAAACCATCATATATTATTATGTACCATGTGTTGAAACTGTATTTAGATAAAGTGACTTCATTTGTAAATGAAGACTCCTAAAGTAATGTATAATAAATTAAGCTCTAAGGTAACATAGGACATTAAGGTGGCTTTTTCATTTTAAAAAGTGACACTATTCCAGATTTCTCCTTTCACAAGAGAAATTCCCGTCCAGTTAGGTGCCACCACAGCAGCAGTGCTAGTTCACAGTCGTACTGGAGGAAGAACAGAGAAACTTTCAGGCAAGAGGGAGGTCTGCTGTAGCTGGGTTTTAGGTGCTCAGGCAGGTTTCTGAGAGGCAGATCTAGGCTGCTGCTGCTGCCTGTGCACACTGGAAGCCAATTTCAGTGTTTTGTCAGTCCTGAACCTGCCACAAGTACTGCTGTCTCTTTTAAAGATGAAATAAAGAGTGGCATGAAATAAACAGTGTTGGGGAAGAGCCGAGTACAGTACCTAGATGCTCAAGGTATAGTCTAGTATATCAAAATAATAATTATAATAAATAAAAGCCATATAAGCATTCAGGGTAAGGTGGACTTTTTTTTTTTCTCTCCCCCACAAGATCTGTCATTCTCGTGGTTTGGTTTCCAGGGCCAGTATTTCTGCATAAATCAATGCCTCAGAGCAGCATAGGATGTAGAAAACTATCTATCTACAGTATTCCTGAAATGTTTTGTGTGTATCTTTAAACTAGCCTCCAACCAAAGCTGCCATCTATAGAATAATTTATCAAGTTGTTTTAAGACTTCTATTGCAATCTGGTGTCGAATACGTACACAATATACTCTAAATTATAGATATATTAATACATTGAGAGATTTAAATCTTTCTAAAATAGTTTTGATTTTGTATTGATTACCTGAGCGCTGACCTCTGTATGAGTAGAATGTGTCCAAGTGTCTTTTTTTCCTGTAAAATCTTCTGTCTCTTAACTGGTCTCCACTGTAGTAACTGGATTTTCATTATCCAATTCCATCTTCTAGCTTTTATTAAGAATGAACTGCAGTTTAGGTTTCCTGTGTAATATTTGACTTTGGATTATAGACAAGTTGTAGCCAGCAGCACTTGCTCCTTGTTGAAAAAGTTTCCTGAAGATATTTTTTTACTGCCATTTTGATAAGAGGTTCATTCACAGAGCTAACAGGACCACCAAAGCCACAATCGAGCTTTATTCCTTTCACCAGTTTGGGGTAATGCAGGATGTGGCCTTCAATGTATATATTCCTAAAGTGTAGGTCTTCAAAGGGACGGTGTAGAATTGGCGCCATAAAATTTTGTACAAAGGCTGCCTCATCCACTTTCACATTTAATTTTATTGCATCTACAATTGTTTTGGGAAACTGCTGCTGTCACAGGACAGCCGACAGCTAACCTGACATACTTTCACCTTGCGCATTACCACCAGTAATAAATGTGAAGCAGGGCAAATTACTGCTTTAATCATACCTGTGCGAGTGCACCAGAGACAGAGAGTTTGAGTGGCGGCTACCAACACCAGCATTTAGCCTGTGGGATCTATTCTCCCTGCTGGTGCAGGAAAGAACTCAGGATTTTTTTGTTTTTGTTAAATGCAAGGTAGGCAAATTTGGAGTCACTGAAACATGAATCCTGCATTATCTTTCTATATGCCTCCCTCCCAGAATAATACTGTGTTAGTAATATTTAAAAAAATCCAACTATATAAACTGAGCTTTTCAAAACCTAATAAGGTATCACCACCGTGTAACTCCTACACCCCAAGTTGAGGACATACAGTGGAGTTGTATTCACTGATTCAGTATTCTTGATGTAAATCCTGCTGTGCGAGTAGATTGCAAGTAGCACGGCTAACAGCACAAGGATGCTCTTCTCTCTGCAAAGAACAACTCTGCTGCAAGGGTTAGAAAAATTCTGAGCTGCTTATCCATAGGGACAGATGAACACCACAGGGTAGGAAAACAAAAGCTTTACCTCCCACAAACGGGTCTGCATTTCACGCACTCGCCCCGAGTAGGGTGACCGCGCTCCCCTCCAAACCTGTAGCTTGGCTACAGCTGCTGCTCTCTAAGCCTGCACAGCCAGCCCCAAGTGCCAACAGGGACCAGCACAAACCCTGTGCTGGGAAGCTTCCCCAGGCCTGACGGGATCTGACAGGAAAACAGCAGGTCCTCTGCACAGCCAGCCGCTCGCTCGCTGGCACACACTCCACTCCGGGCAGGAGAAGCTGCTGCAGCTCCTCGGCTCACCTCAGGAGAAAGCCCAGAAGCCCAACAAGTTAGTAATTACTGAAAAAAATCACCCAACTTGGAATTAATACACATATAACTGTAGCTAGCAAAGACTTTCTAAGCCATAGTCCTATTTATATGCTAGGCTGTCACACCTCCCAGCTGGTCCCATGCAAAACGCATCCTGAAATTAGTATTTAGGTTGTTCCAACCTGAGAGCCAGTGCACAAGCTGCAACAAACAGCAAAGGGATGATTCATCTAAGTAAACGTTTTGTCATCTGAAAAAAACAACGCGTCCTTGGAATTACTGTATTTTACTGTTTAAAAATGTACAGAAAAGCCTAAGTACATGGGTCAAACTCATCTCACCTGCCAATGGGTGGAGTTAGACTAAAGTGAAGGTGGTTTGATATCTGCATCCTCCAAAGAGCCCGTCACTGCCTTGGGCTCAGAGGTCGGGTCAATCTGAACTTCCTCGTGCTGGTGGGGTCCGTCTTGACGATGTGTATGTTGTATCCATGTAGTAGTACCTTGTCTGTCAGCTGGTAACTCTTTTATGTTCACTGTAACACTGCCACAAGCTCAGAAAGGATACCGCTGCTGTGGAAGCCGGGGTGTTTTTCCGTCTTCCTTTTTACTAATTTCCTTATAATTTGATTGCATAAATATTTTGCTGTGATTTTAAAAAAAAAAAAAAAAAGTCTGGGGAAAGTACAAACCGAAGTGAACACACTGGCTAATCAGGTTTGTTTTATATGAAAAATGCACATTGACCTCACAATGAATGAAATTAAAAACTAACTTTCTAAAACAAAACAAAACAAACCAGAACTTTATGCCTTAGATGGAAGCAGCAAATCATTGCTCAGTCTCCTCTCATCCTAGCAAAATGACAAAGGGTACTATTTCTGTCACAAAATTGACAAATTGAAAAAAATTACCAAAACCCCCCGCGTCCCCCTTTCAAAAATACCGTAATTTTGAAAAGCGAAATTCACCATATCAGTGCTGGGGAGTAAACTTCATAGTTATTTTAAGTTTTCTTTAAGTTTCGTTTTTTCCATCTTTTTGCCATTACCTGCATTCCTTAGATTTCTTTTTTCATACGTAAAATGAACTAGCAACCCCTCCCAAGCTCTTTTTTTTTTTTTTGAAAGAACTTTAGAATCTCAGTAATGTTTTCGCCATCGAATCATGAAAAACCCTTTTGTTATTTCTCTTCTTTAACACATAACATGTTCCTCCTTTGACCCTCATTTTCCCTTTTTTTCTCTCTCTCCCCCCTCTCCCTCCCACTCGTTTGTCCCCCTCGTCCACCGATCTAATCCTGCCCTTTCGTGGTTGCTGTCCCTCCCTTCCTCCTCCTCCTCCTCCTCCCGGCCCCACCGCCCTGGCTGGACCCTCCCAACCTGTTTGTTCCTCTTCCTCTCTTCGTTTGCAGCTTAGAGATGGCTAAAGTCAGCACCCAGACCGCTTCCGTCACGACCCCTGTTGACCTCAACATGAACCTCTCTCAGTCTGCCACCCCTACCTCCACCCCCACCTCCATGGCCGTGCTGGCGGCCGCCTCCGCCGTTACCGTCAGTACCCCCCCTCCCCTACCAACTCTGCCAACCACCCACTATGCCGTTCCTGTCTCCAGTCTGCTTGGCATGAAAACTGTCCCACTCCTGGCACTAAATGCCGCGGCCGCCGCGGGGGCCACGGGGAGTTTGTCCGCTTACACTGCCAAAATTCCTTCGACGAGCGGGGTTAAGAAATCTGACCGCCAGAAGTTTGCTCCATATTGAAGGGATGAGACACAATGCAAGCTTTGCCAGCTCTACCAAGAGTCTGTGGTAGATCCTAGTTATCAAGGAAACAATACGGCATCTTTTATTTTCTGTTAAATTGCTAGTGTTAACTGTTGCCAACTCAAGTCGTCTTCCGCTCTCCATAACGACTAACACCCGGGCACCACCTACCAACTAGTTCCAACAGCGGGCTTCCCCCCCGACGCCGTCCCTCCGCCGGGGCCGCAGCCAGGGCTGCCCCTCCGGCAGCTCCGCAGCACGGCAGGGTTGCCCCCACCCCAGCAAGGAGACACCTGGAGAGAAAGAAAAAAACATAAATGAGGCGAAATTTTGACAGCCGGCTCCTGCTCCAGCAATGCTGCCTGGCATATAAATACACTTAGATCCATCTGAAGGGATCCCTCCAACCGCAGAGCAATTTTCTATGGCAAATTGGCACCTCTGAGGAATCTTTCTATTGCTAGAGCCTGCAAATCCGGCACTTCTGGTGATGGCTAGTGCCCCTGAAATCCACTCGTGAAGTGCTGGCCCCCTCGGTCATTCTGCTGCTCTCCACAGGCCCGAAGACTCCCGTCTTCCCTGCCCCGACACCTGCCTGCAAGCAGGAGAAGGGGGCTAGAAAGTACCAAAGCTCAGGTACTTCTGCATACAACAAATGAAGCTTTCTGGTCTGAGAAAAACCGCTAACTTAAAACGATTGGAAGACAACCGAGAAAAAAAAAACAACAAAAAAAAACCCACAACCTATCAGGCACCTGAGCCTTTCCACTTCATTCTTTTAAAGGGCACAACAATCTTTCTCTGGTTTGGAAAAAATGTAATTTTAAGAACTCTGCTTTAGGGAAGGAGAGCAGGCTCTTCCTTTTGCACTCAGATGTTTTATATACCGACACAGTACTTACTTACTTCTGTAAGTACTTAAGAGTAGGTACAAATCAGACATGCACAGTCACTATTCTGGTACCCCCTCCCGCATATATTTTGTTCAGCCAAAATGACCATTTTTTGTTAGGTTTCTGTACAAAATACATCCCTATTTAACTCACCGCTAATCATGCAATCGGGTTGTATTGTAATTACGAATAAAATCTAGCGCTTACCAAAGGACATTCAAAGGTTGCTGCCTGAACAGATAACATCCCTTTAACAGGAACTTAACGATGTTCAGATTAAATAAAACCAGACACCTAATTGCAGCCAAACCGAAGAGAGCTGGGTGATGTAATGGCTGGTTGCTAGCTGTTGGAACTAGTTTTTAACTGCATTTTCTGTTTGTCCATCCACCTTCTTTTTAATTTCTGTTGCATAACTCAGTAATGCAATATTGTTTTCCTCACCACTTCCGAATCCAGAATCCCATTAGCCCGCCATGTTCATACACTTTGCACTCCTTGGACACAAAGCTTTAACAATTGAACTGTATTCAGTGCATTTTAATATAAACTAAAAACACAATGCAAATGCAATACTTTTTAAAACATGGTATTTCAAAGTGTGTTATTATTATTGTATAGGGCTAAGTACTATCTCAGTATTTTGTGTCATTTCTGTATTCTGTGGGCTTTTCTTCACCTTAGTACCTTTGCACTAAGTTTTGTCACTGTAACCATTTGTAGAACTGCCATTGTTACAGTTTGCACTTATCCAAATGGGGTTTTTGGTTGGTTTTGTTGTTTGGGTTTGTTGTTTTGGTTTTTTTTGTTTTGTTTGTTTTGGGCTTTTTTTTGTTTGTTTGTATATAATGAAGGAGAAACTGGAAATAATGTCAAGGTACCTCAGCTATTTAACAGCTCTAGAAACCTGCTGTAAAATTGTTCTGGACTATTGTAACTGTTTCAGTAACTGACATTTTAAAAAAACCAAACCACCAACCTCTCTGTGAGAAAACTTGCCTGCATTGAAATGCTGTTCTATGCTGGTTGTACTCAAGTGTTATTTTTTTAATAGTGAGAAGATTTTTTTCTTTTTTTTTGCCTTTTTTTTTTTTTTTTCCTTTTCTTTTCCTCATTTTTGTTCCTACATTTTAGGCTGTCTTCAGAAGTTACTGGCCTGGGGGCTCTGTAATGTATCTCATCATGCCCTAGTGCATTAGCCACCAGACAGGACTTTTCCAAAGCCCCATGAGACAATGCTTTCTATGGACTAATCTACAGAGGAGTTTCTGCCATTTCTAACTTTCTTATTATTCTGAGACATCAAAAGAAAATACTTCCTTTACTCTTTAAGCAACTGTGCTTCCTAACTCTTGTGTTGCTTTCATTACTGTTCCAGTTTTAACACTGTTGTGGCTCATAACAAAGCAAAGAAAAGTTATTTTCGGGGGTTAATTTTCATTGATGTTCATGCTTTGGCTAATCTGTATAAAAGCATGGGCCGTTAGTGTTCTAAACCACTGTATTCAGCTAGAGACTCGACAGTAAATTAAATGAGACGTTTTTATAAATAAATTTTTTTCCTGATTTAAAACAAAAAAAGACGTGGTAGCTTTGTGCATACAACTGTTGTGTTGTTTAAACTTTGTTCTTTGTAACCAAGTTGCTAATTTGTCATTTGAGAAACACTATTTTATGGATTGTCAAACTAAGATCATAGACAAATTGCTTGTTTTCATTAATGATTAAAGGTTTCATATCATCACGCTTAAGGTCCCAGTGCTCATTGGGAGAGTGTAACAACTGTGCAATACTGGCAACATTAGAAAGTACATTAGCCCATTGTCAGGGATGATGAGTCTTTTCATGATTAGATGGAACCAGATCATGTAATTAGTAGAGCAAGCAGTATTTCCGCAAAACCTTATTTGGTTTTTAACAAAGTTGCTCTTGGAGAACTTCTCACACTGCATAGAAAAGAAAGAATTCGGCTTCTTGCTACGAGAAGCCACTGGTTTGTATCTATCATCTCCCGTGTTTTCCCATGCTGATTTTAAGATCAGATACTGGGAAAAGAAAAACAGGAACAAAAGAACAAACTCAGGTACTGAGTACGTTATTGCTAAGACCCTTTGTATTTTCCCATTCCCAGCAGCACTGTTCAGTGACAAGGCTTCTAGACAGCACCTTTCACCCTGCCAGGAAAGCAGCCCAGCAGCTGGGAGGAGCATGACAATTTGCATTAAAAAATGGATAGCTGGCCCAGGGAACTGTCTCATCCTGCCCTAACACTCTGCTTGAGCCGTTCAGCTCCTCCTTTGGATCTGCTGAAGCACTGCAGTCACAGCCTCAAATTATCTCTTCACATGGAAGTGAAAGAAAGGGGGTGGCCCCGAGTTGTTGCTGCATACAGCACTCCTGGCTGCGCTCTGGCCACCTCTCCTCTTAGGGCATTGGCAATACTTTCACATTTACTGCTTTATCCTCATGAGAAAGCAGAGTTTTTGGCAGGGCAAGCGAGTAGCATCCTTCATGATGTGAGACTAATTCTACAACCTCCATCCCTACTCTACTAAGGTCTATACTTGTCTCCAGGTATTTAGCTTGGGGTCCCAGTTAGCCTCACTGCCCCGGCTGAATACTTCTGGGGCATATCACTATTATTTTCCATGGACTCTAGGGTACAGAGAGCTCCTATGTGTCTGGGTCTCGAGTCTGAGCCTGGAACTACAGTATGACCAAGACATGCATCCAGACTTGGAAACCTGTACAAGTCAACAGCTTTTTCAATACAGATGCAGCCACAAAGCAACTCTTGACAATAAAGGCTGCTGAGGAAGATTACAGAATGCCTCATTGCATCCCAGCACACAGGAAGCCTTACCCAATGTTGAATTAACTATTCCAAGCCTTAGGTTGGAAGAACTATAGGCTGTAGTACTAACCTTGATAAAATTCTGTGTTGTTATTACTTAAACTATATATATTTTACTTAAAATATACTTAACTTCTTACTCTTGAAAGGAGAGCTGAAGCCGCTTTCACAGTGGAGACCTCCATACTCTTCATTTCCTGAACAGCAAAAGCTATTTCTCTGGTTAGCCTGGCTAGTGTAAATGAAAAAAATAGAACATTATTGCAGCTCAACACTAAGTAGGTCAAGGCTTTACTCTCCCAGTAAAGCTGCTAGGTAAAGGGCAGCAGCAGCTCTGTCGTGTATAGCATCTTTCACATAAATAATTCCCAGGTGTCTTGCAGAATTGGCTAGAAAAGACTGAGATTTAAACAAACCAGTGCAGGGGTACATTTGTGTGTGAAATGAGGAGAGGTAAAATAGACACATGGACAAAGGAAGGAAAAAAAAGTCTTTTGAGAGGGCTTTTGCAAAAAATACAGGCAGAAATGTGATAAAAGCTAGGCTAATCGAGGACTCATTTTAATTTAATTATTTTAGCTGGAAAAGATTTGAGTGGCAAGAAAAAGTTCCTGGATAGCTTTAATATATAAAACAGGCAAATAAAACACAAGAAGGTACATCTGAAGGGAAAAAAAAACCCTAAAAAATAGTATTATCCAAGATAGATAGAAAACTAAACCACTCATGCCCAAAGGTAGATAAGAGGAAGCATGCACCTGATATGAAAAGGTCACTGCCCACACAACTGTGAATTTCCAAGTGAAAGCACAATTTCTGCAGCTTTCACATCATCAAATCATTATCAGAGTTCTGGCAAACATCTCAAACAAATTCAAGCTGCTCTGTTAATGTTTCTCAAGTGAAAAAAAATAGAAAGTACAAATGCTGGCTAGAATAGTCAACCAGAAGGAAAACAAGCAAAGTTAGAGGTATTCAGCCGCATAATCTAGTCCACTGCTAATACCCAGAGTGCTTTCTGTTCTCAGACATAGCCAGAAGGCATCTATGGGCCCCAAGGTGCATATTTGTGCCAGTCAAGGCTCCTAGGAAGCTAACAGCATAAATCTCGCTGATGCAATGAATGTAGGCACCTGGTAAGTGCCTCAGCCTCACAGGGTTGCATGGGGAAGGTATTTCTGTGAGGTTTCACAAGACAGTCTTAGAGCCCATGCTGAACCTTCCCCACCTGAACTAGGCAGAAATGGAAGTATCCCTGGTTTGTTTTTTAAATACCCAACAGCATGAAAACAGGAGCGCTTCTCTGGGATGGGAGAGATCCAAATCCAGTTTATACCACAGCCTCAATCTCCGCTGAATGTATTTCAGCACTATTTATGTACTTGGAACAGGATCTTCCCCTTCTCGGGCAAGTGTCATAATTACTGAACAAGAAAGTCACATATGCTCACTAATTCAATCATTTTACAGTGGCACAGCTTCTAAAGGAAAGACTGAAATTGTTAGGCTGCTCAACTAGTTCAAAGGACAGCATAGAGAGGAGGGATTTGAACAGAGAGAGATATCTCATATCCTCTGTAACTGCTGTAACCACCAATTACACAAGGCAATAGTCCCTCCGCTATATTTTTGGAAAAAAGACCTGGTTTAGATGTCTACACAAGGGAACTGCTTGCATTTCTTTTCCCAGCTGACAGGCCAGGATAGTTCTAAGTGAAGTGATGAACAGAAGATAAATGAAGGCAGACACTGAAAAACTGCTTCACACCAGAAAATTTCAAATCTCTTGGCCTAAGCAACGCTTTCTAGGGATACAAGTAATAGTGCCTTTCTTGCCACTGAATTGTACTTACTCCTTGGTTCCAGAAAGGAATGCAGTAATGTTGATTAAATCAGTTTCTGCATCAATGCATGTGTTCTGTCACTCTACAGACTGGCATATGTCTCAAGACAGTAACTGAAATGAAATAGAAGTGTCAAATTCATCTGATGGTACTTAACAAAAGGGAATTTCTGAAACATTATATACTCACATTATGGTTTCTAATGACAGCTACAGCATGATTTCTATTGGTTGAATGTCTGATGTCCTAGTGCAAGCTTTGATTATAAGAAAAAAGAAAGTTTTTTTAAATGCTGAAAACATTTTAGTAATATGACTTTTCTCATTAGAGTTATTTCTAGCTCAGTGTTTTTAAGATGATAAAATGCAGAGAATTTAATCACAGGGGCATGTAATAAGCAAAATTTGTCTCTCCTCAGATTGAATTTATTGGCAGGGGGCCTGACCAAAACTAATGTTAATGTGCTCTTTAACCAGTATTTGTAATTCAGAGCAAATTTTATATTTACATGCTTTAGCGAAGGAATGACAAACAATCATGTTAGCAAATGAGACCACTGTTTAGTTTGTTGTTGTTATTTTGGTTTGCTTTGGTTGTTTTTGCGCAATCACTTTTGGGCTCCTCTGTACCAAATACAGCCCTTTTCCACATCTACTTCGAAGTCATGACAGCAGCAGCTTATTTCTTCCATGTTGGGAGAGAAGTTAGCACACAGACTACCATTTGTGATTGCACTTGCCAAAGAACAGCTAACTACCAAAAACTGGCAGTTGCAGCTGTAGTTAGCTGCTCCCTGCAGAGCTGCTACTTGGAACTCCACTTCAAACACGCATGCACACACGCGCACACACATTTTGGCCCTGGAAGTTACTTACCAGTTTCAAAACCACTATGCTGGGGAATCACAACTATTTTTTGGTGGCATGAAATTCCACAGTTCTTAAATTTGGGCAACACTCTCCATTATTATATCAATAAGTAAGGATTACAAATGCTAAGTCTTCCTCCTTAATTCTGATTCTTCAGTTTTCTGGATGTCCTGGAGATCAGAGAATTAAAATATTCTTCTCAATTCCACTGTGCCAGATATTAAAACCTCATTTGTAATAGTGGCTATGGACAGAGCTAGTTATTAGGACTGCTTTCATCTTTTTTTGTTTAAAAATAGAATTCAAGAAAGTTAAGAAGTTAGAAAGAAATTAAGGAAGTACGTATTTTTAAAAACAGCTATTTGCTCTAGGTAATCGTCTAGCTGAATAGCTCATCAGAAGTCCATAAAATTGTTTTCTAAAACTGATGACAGACTTAAAATACAAATTAATTATGCCTATGTTTTTCTAAGACACAGGAGATCATTTACCTTGATAAATTAGCTTGACTATTCAGTAAGGTTGGGATAATTCCCTCTTCTCCCTTACAGCCATGCTACTTTTCATTGCTAAAAAGCAGGATGATTTTTTGCCTTCTTGACACGACAGCACATGTATATCAATGGTCACACAGGATACAGATAGCAAAGTCACTCCTATCTTCTTTACAGAGCTCTCTAAAAGCTTTGTTTCAAATGCTGAAGAAACGTACAGTTGTACACAATAAGCTGTATAAACTTACAACACTATTTGTGGAACTATGAGATTCCTCCAAGGAAAAAAGTACCAACTCCTGAACAAGCAACAGCCAAGAAGGACCAATGCTGTCCGTTACTTCCTCAGCAATATGTACACCCACTGGCTTGTTCATCATCTTTACTCTTACAACAGAAGTTATGCAAAGATAACAAATACAGTAATGAGTGATCTGGTGTTCACTCCTGCCATCTGTTTCTTATAATTAAAACAACAGGCTGCACTGGTTTGGATTTGAATGTACAAGCTCCCTGCACTGTAACTAAACTCACTGATTAGGTTCTTGCCACTAGGTATCTCTAAAGAGGAGGGCAACTGAAACAGCTAAACTGTTTTAATGCTTAGTTCCTTTCCTATTTATCTGCAGTTGAAACCATGATTTGCATATTCAGGTACAAAACAAAAGTTACAGATATATGTACAAAATGGAAGTGTAAGTTATAAGCTCAGAAATTAACATTTTTGTACTGTAAAAACATCTATGTATGTCCATGATACTCAGTGTAACCTGACTTTAATCACCTCTGTTTCTCTGACATTAAGCCAAACGCAGAGTGGTTCTTAAGTTCAGTGTTAACAAGCTAGCACGCTTTGGTGAACGAGGTCAGTGAAAAGCAAAGATAAGTAGAACAATTAGAAACTTAGCTTAGCCCTTCTCAAGAGTGAAATTGGGGGAGTGTCTTTTGTTTTGTTTTAAAAAACAAAACAAAACCAAAAACTGTCCACCTGTTAATATTGTATCACCCTCTCAGCTGAAAGTTCTCTTTATAGTGATAAAGGGGTCTAGAGATCTTTCACCACAGCATGATAGGCACCTCCTTATACATTGATATTCAAATGTTTCACGCTATATAAGGAAATTTTACTTCAGTTTTGGCCCAACTAAGTTTTCTCCAACTTACCAAAACATTCATTATTTGTTTTGATACTCTCTGAATGTTGCTGTCTCAGCAACACTACTAATTCACCTAAGACTGCAGCGTTGCGTCAAACATTTTAGCAACTTAAAGTAACAGCTACTTACACTTATGGTTAATAAATCAACCAAAAAACAGTGGCTGTAAGCCAGCATATATGAGCAGGAATAAATGGATGCACCAAGCTGCTAAGGACCATTGCTTGAATTTTGACAGCTGTAGAAATATAAATAAAGAGCTGAACCCAAGGATCACGGAAACCAGGAGTGGTGAAAAGGCATCTCACAATATGGAAAGGGCTCCCACCATATCAAGTCTTTCTTCCAGAACAGGCAAATCAAACATCTAGCTTTAGTTTTTCTCTTTACTGGTTGGTTAGTAAACATCTTTGAGGCAAGTATTTAGAATGCTCTCATAAGAACAAAGCTTGGTTTCTCCCTTTAAAACCTCACGAACTTGTTTTAAAACTAGAATCTTTGGGGGAGGGGGGGGAAGGAAAATGTTAAGCTGTTCTTTCACAACTTTGCTTTTTTGATAAAAATCTCAAACCACACATTTCTCCTATTTTTTCAAAAGTCCTCAGCAAATTTGAAATGTTTTAAGATTTGCAAAAGTAAAATAAAAATGCTTCATAAAAAAAAAAAAAAAAAAAAGATACTTACCAAAGCTCAAGGTAGTTCTGCTTTCCATGTCCCAGTCTTCTCAAGTTTGTTGGTTCTCGATTTTACTTCATCTGTGTTTATCAGAACAGAAATCAATTTTAGATGCTCTCTGTGCCTAAGATACCTTAAGAAAATTTCCAGTATTTACAGCTAAATTTTACCTCATCAGTTTCCAGTGCAGTACCTTCCTCTCTGGCATTTTGTGACCCTTTCATTTAGTTATGCAAATATGTAACCATTGTGTTTTCACCCCTCTGGTTCAAGAAATGTGAGGTATGCTACACTATGGCTGCACTAAGCAAAACAAGATACTATAAAGAAAAATATTCAGCACTGCCTATGGCACATCACAGAGTATCTGTGGAAAAGCTGTAGCTCAACATTTCTGAGCTTAGTCCTTACATACACAGAGGAACCGTAACAGATCCTGAAAAAACTGTACATATTTTATTGGGAGCTGGGGCAATGGACGGAAGAGCACTTATAAATCTTAAGATAACATAAATGCAGAATATTTTCCTTTCCCTAATCCCCGCAATCTGGGAAAACTCCATACGCTATCACTTTTGGAAGTCCTTTACTTCTATGCACAATAACCCAAGTCTCAAAATTGCCAGATATATCTAACGCTTCCAAAACCTTAGAGATTCTTCAGTTACTTATTAATCCCATTAGAATACCTCTGGTAGGAAACCAATAATTTTAATAGGAAAGGTGCATTCAATATTGTAAAACATTTGCAATATACAGTTTTTACAGCAAGTAATACACCACTGTAGATCTACAAAGCTGGGTTTTTTTAATGCACTTGGCTCTTTACCATCTCACAATCGTCTTTAAATAAATATTCAACAAAACCATCTCACTTCTAACAATGGAAATAACATGAGAGGTAAAGAGAATTTCAACCATGTTGCAGAAACGCTACAACAAAGCCCCTTTCACCCGCCAGTCCTGAGACAGCAAATCCTGCAATTCTTCTTCATCTTCGCTACCAATAGCTTCATCCTCTTTCTCTTGTGTTGCTCTTAATCTCATGGCTTCCTTTAACTTCTCCTTCATCAGATCCTGGCGGTTACGCAAAAGCTCAACACGGCGATAACATTCACTGTTGAAAAGTAAACCACCTATTAACATTTGTGGCCTTTCCACATTAATTGGATTTTCTACAGTGCTGGATTTTGCTTCTCCAACTTGGGATAAAAAAAACTTGCTAGCTTCCCATCGACTGAAAAAATAAGCTTTCAATATGCTTGTGCACCTTCTCTGTGTTCATCAGGTGGAAACAGACCAGATGAGAGGAGAGGTGTGGTCAATCCTCTAGCAATGAGATCTAATCCAAGTATTTAACAACTGCAATACCACCACAAATCATTTTTAAAAAAAGCACACAGAAGCAATATCCACTTCCACACAGGAAGAGATGCCATTCTTTGCTTCACTTATGGTTTTCATATATGGTAGAAAGGCGAGATATCAACTGGCTATCAATTTTGATAACTTAGGGATGGCATCTCTGAAAATAAGAAAAGCGGCACAAGTGTTCAGATTCTTTATCTGCTTACTGTGTGCTATAACAGAACATTTTAAGTAAACACAATCCACAAGTTTCGGTTTTCCATTTACTTAAAAAGTTCTGTCCTGGAAATATGTTTTATAACAATTATTCTAGCCATTGTAACAGGCTATTTTGTTGAAAATGCCAAGTACTATCAGCCAGATTTAAATACATCTTTGCTTCTTTCATTCCTATTTGCTAGAAGAGTCAACAAGGAAAGATTATTATCTGGATCCTGTTTCCCCTTGCGCATCTGTAATATGATTACTTACAGGCAGTCGCAGATGAAGATTTGAAGGCTAAAGGAAAACATGAATGTCACTGGAATTAATCTGATTTTGAATTTAATTTGAAATAGCCCGAGTTTAAATACACTCAGAAGACAAAGCTACAAAAACAGCCTTTAAAAGTCTACTTGGAACTTTTATTTTGGGGAAAAATAATTATGCTAACAAGCTTCAAATTCTCTATAAACTTCTGAATTTGGTTCTATGTACTATAGCATCCTAAGCTACTGGGAAAAATGAATGCTCAAAGACAGCCAGGTTTAGATCAAGCCCTCTCCAAAATTACACGAACACTGTTAAAAGACATTCAAGTACTACCAAAGCTCAGTTTGAACCCAATGCTGCTGTTATTATATGCCGATTACCTGTAGCATGTAAAACTGTACAGATAGCTTAAGTGTTGCTTTAATTTTTAGTGTCTTCTTTTTGTTGCAAGGTTCATTAAAATCAAAAATAACGTTTTTCTTTTCAATTGCTACCATTGCCACAATCACTGTTAATCAACGTGTTAAGCTACATGGTAATGGGAACAATCTGTTCTACTAAGCTGTATTTCAGGTTACCTAGAGTTTAAGCTAATGCTTATCCAACTGCTACGCCTACCATTTCAAGAAAACAAAACAAAAAAAACCACTTCATGTAATAAAGTCCATCATTCAACAAAACCTTTAAGTAAACTTTCATTAGAAACAAGGAGAGTTAGTGACATAACAGGACATTTTCAGTACAGCAAACGGATGGTCAAAACACCAAAATCTCATTACTGAAATTTTAATCGCATGCAGAATATCAGATCTCGCTTTTAAAAAATGTTCACATAAATTCTACATCAATCAGAATTCATAGAGAAGTACAAATTAAGACATTTGACAGGGGGGAGGGCGACAGTTTGTTCAAAGAATTTGCCTTCTATTGCTTTATTTTGCTCATGCCTGCTTGCTGTACTTTCAGTGATTCTAGTGCATTCTCTCTTTGCAAATAAATTTGCACAAAAATGCATATTTTTATTAGGTATCATTAAGCAATTTGAGGGAGTCTATTTAGGTGATTAATGAAAGGCAGTATCACAGAAGATTCAAATTAAAAATGTCTTTATCACTCTAGTCAAATAGTGATCCATTACTGCTGGAGAACAGAAAGTTTGAGGAAAAATTGATCTACTTACATCTGCTCATCAATTTCTCCAATCTGACGATCTAGTCGTCCCTCCTCATCCTCTTCTGCCACTATTGCTTCTGAAATCTAAACCAGAAAACCGCTAAGAAAATTCACCTTCATCCTGAATTCCGCTGTTGTTCCTTTTTGATGTCTGTGTCTTCCCTTTCTCCCCTCTACCTCAAGTCAATGTTAGTCTCCTATATGTATACTCCCACCTTCACAAAAGACTCTGGAGGCGAATACAGAAAAAACCTGATCTGGTTTAATTTGAAATGGAAATGTTTTTTCTTAAAACTAAAAGTAGTTTGGCTGCTTTGGGGTTAACTTTTCAAATTTTTCAATATACTACTATTTGAAATGGAGCATAAACAAGCTACGCACACCCAAAGTCTGATGTTGAAATAGGAGCTATATCCCAATGCTCGGGGCTTAATTACACACACTTATTGAAAATACTGGTTAAATATTCCCACTAGATCCCGAAGTGTTTCTAACCTGTTATTTTTTTCAGCATATACTTTCTCAAATCTGAATGTCTGGGAGATGCTATGCAATCAATGGTCCACGCATAACTGAGAAGATTCCTTCTAAGCTGAAGAATTATCTGAATGGCTAATGCTAGCAAAATGTATCCACCACTGCTTTTGTATGAACATTCGCTCTGTTTATAGTGCTGACTGCTTTAAAATGAGCAATGATAAATTTTTTTTCACCACTTTTCTTAGCAGTTGACATATGAGCAATTCTTTACAATTAAAGTTAAAAAACTAGCAAATACTCTAGGGGAAGATTGAGAACACCAGGTATCGTTAGTCACAGTTTTATATTGTACAAAAGGGCAGATAAAAACCTGTTCCGGGAAGACTTTCCATGCAATGCTAAACAGTAAAAAATGGAAGTACAGAAAAATTGTGGCCAGTTTATGTGTCTCACACACAAAATCTTTTGTCCCTCCCAAATTTTGGGGTTCCTTTCCAGTACATTTAAATTAACCATAAAACCAAGGCTACCTACACTTTATAGATCCTTTTTGAAAAAGGCAGACAAACGGTTGGTGTTTTGTTCTGTGTTTTTCAAGGTTAAAATATCTCATCTAAAGAGCAGCCCAAAATTATGTCCTGTTTGGATACAGGACACTGATCTGAAGTATATGCTATCTTATTTAAATACAATTTAACAAATGTAAGTAGATATATATTGATGACTGGATCCTGATCAAAAGTTTTTTCAACTTAATTTCCCTTGAGAGGAAAATAGAAGGAACCCTTTGCTCATTTATAAAGTGCATTTAACCACACACTGCATTGCAACAAACAGCTGACAAATGCAGATGTCAGTCATTTTGCAGAGCTGCATGAAACTGTTGTTTTCCGTATTGTGTATAGTATTTAGAATCAATAAAAATAGATTCCATTACTTACTGTGTTGACCTGTCGCATTGCCTTTTGAAATTCATCCCATTCTTTGTCCATCTGATCCTTTGGAGCATCAACTTTTCGCACCTAAGGAACATGAAAAAACAGGCTTATTAAAAATTTATGTCTAGTGACTCTTTGGGGCACTGTAAAACACCTGGAGAAATAGCACAAATTATGCTGTGTTCTCAGAAAAGTCTGGTCAACATACTTCCATTCAAATAATGTTTAAGAGAGTGCAGCTGCACAATGGTTTTGGAAGAAAAATCTGACTATTCCTGGATTAAAACAACATCCTTGACTGTAACGTTAAATAATAATTGACTAAGAATGGATGGTGTGGAATGTTCAGAGTAACACAAGTGACTAAGTCTATTAATTTGATGGTCTGTAATTTCACTATGTTGGGTGATAACTTTTAAATTCTGTAAGCTGCCTGTTCAATCATATATAGAAGCTATCTCACAAGCCCAAAAGCAGTGAATTATTTGCCTTTGGCATAACATCAAATGATTCAGTCACTACTCTGACTGGTGTTAGATAGTCTGACTATATTTCAAATCTAGTCTAATTTTGTTGGCTAACAGAAGAAATAGTACACCTACACACCAATTTTAATGACATGCAAAGCTTTTTCTTCTGTGGTAGATTACATTAAGTACTAAGACAAGACGACTGAAAAAGTAATAGCTGTAAGAATGTGTTTAACATCTACAACTAAGGTAATCAAAACCAGATTGTGCTTTTAATACGAGTAAATAAACAAGATATAACCTACCTGTGTAACCAAAACTTCCATAATTCAAGAGTGGAAGATGTGGCATATAACATATGTTAGATGACAGATGATGCCTGGCTCTGCACTGGATGAAAATCATATAGCTAGGAGAACTAAGCAGTTTGAACAGCATAATTCATAACACCATCTTTTTGCATTAGTTTTATTTTTCCTTTATTCATTCCTCTCCTTTGGTAACACATCAGTCATCATCATGGTAAAGAAAAGTTTGGTATGTTTTGTTCCTGAACAATTATACAAAATCCAGTAGTATGAATTAAGTTTATAGAATAAATTAGAAGCTTCCAAGCAAACTACATACTGGGAAGTAATAGTCATCATTTCGTTTTTCTGTTCTGTGATTATTTCTATCATATGTGTATGTACTGTGTTATTACGCATTGTGGTTGTCTTTTGTAATTCATAATTATTTGTATTTCTTACAATAAATTTAAACACTAAAGAAATTATTTTTCCTTGAAATATTTATCTAATCCAGAATTTATATGCTTTGTAAATTCCTGATGTAAAGAATCAACATTTTTCAAGCCCACAATCTCCCTTCCAAATGCTCACTGTTAATTCTGAAAATAATTATTTTGCATACGATTCCAACACAGAATCACTGCAGCCAACTCAACATAAACAGTCACAAACGTTTTCCTTCCCCTGCCTATTAGCTAAACTTAGAAAGGACTGATTAAAAAGAAGAGCACCTGGAAGCAATTCAAGGAAGAGCTTATTGGAACATGTATCCGCTTGCAAATTTTATCAGCTGAGGTGATAACCAGAACAAAGATCACTAACCAGCGTCCTCACAGATATAAGCAGATTCTCCTTTGCCTGCTAGGCATTCCCACTTTGTACAAGCTTCCCAACTCATGGTGAAACTAAGTATTTGAAAAAAATTTAACACTCCAATTAGTCATATGCAAAAAAAAAAATAATCAAAACAACAACAACAAAAAGGTATGGCTTTTTCAGCTACATATTTCAGTATTCAAAATGTCATTATTCAAAACTATTCACATATGCCAACACATAGGCATGAGTGGTGCCAAAAGAATCTTGCCAGAGCAAATAAAAGACACCCAAGCTTGTGATTGGGACAGTGGGACTAACTGAACATAAAGAGGCATTATTTGGAAGGTCTCCAAATCAGAAGTTATGGCTCGACCTCACAATCCAATTTAAATACGCCAGCAGCCTTCCACAGTGTGAATAGGGAAATATACTCAAGGAAAATAAAAAAGACTTTGAGCCTACAACACTATTATTTCAACAAAGCAAGCAGGAAAGCCACCTGTGGCAAATTTTACAAACCAAACCAAACAAAAAAAAGTTTGTATTTCAAATATCAGTGTTTATTTTGGTCATCATTCTGTACTATGCAAGTTGAAGGAAGTATGCTTTGTTTTGATCAAACTTTCAAGATTTTTAGTTGTGGGTTTTCTGAGGTTTTGGGTGGTTTTCTGGGGGGGGGTTTGAGGGGGGTTTTTTTGGGTTTTTTTTTTGAGAAACATGTTGAATGCCCATATTTCTTTTCTGAGCATCAAAAAACCTATAGTGGTAAAAGACAAGAGGGCTGAAGACCAAGTTCACTGTTGTAGTATGCCAGTACTAGAGATTACAGTGCATGCCATAACCTAGCTATTTTCATTCTAACAGGATGTATAGTATCAGTCACATAGTAACTCTTAATACTTTTCAACAGGATCTCTCAAAGGACATTAGAGAACTATTTTTATATCTTCAATTCCGAAGCAGAACTGGATGTACAAATTAGGTGAAATGCTTTTCCTGGGATGACTCAAAGAAATAAAAGTAACAGGTAGATTGTCCAAATCTCAGTCCAGCATTTTAACCAACAAATAACATTTCTTTGGTTTTCTTTAACAGCCAGAAAGGAACCACAATCAAAAATACCTTCTGAGAGATGATTTAACAAGGTCTTCCTACCCACCTCCATCCCTTTTCATGTTTTCTAATAGAGAATGAATGATTCAAAGCTGTGCAAGGGGAGGTTTACACTGGACATCAGGAAGCATTTCTTTACCAAGAGGGTGGTCAAACACTGGAGCAGGCTTCCTAGAGAGGTGGTCGATGACCCAAGCCTGTCAGTGTTTAAGGGGCTTTTGGACAATGCCCTTAATGGCATGCTTTAACTTCTGGCCAGCCCTGAATTGGTCAAGCAGTTAGACTAGATAATCGTTGTAGGTCCCTTCCAACTGATATAGTCTATTCTATTCTAAATAGTTCAGTCCCTTCCTTATATTCTGGTATGACTAATTACCTGGAAAAGCATCCTCACTACTCAGAAAATCATTACAACTGGCAGAAATAAATCCAACAGCATAAAAAGAGCAGATCACTTACTTTTGCATCCACTTCAGGATCATCAAAGAAACCTTCTGGCAAAGCTTCAGCAGTGTTTTCTTTCCTGAAATGTTTGATTAATATTATCCTAAAGTTAACACTTCACAACCTGCTTTATTGTAGAGTTAAAAATAGTCAAGAATAAAATCCATAATCTTTTATGAAAGGACCTAGAAACGGAGCAAGTTTTTTACACCTCAAGTTTTACCTACAACCATCAAAACCCACTTCTTCAGTTTGGTCTTAACTAACTTAAAAGGAACCGCACAGACAGATTTAAATCTCACTGTCAAAAAAGAGCTACAGCTTAGGCTTCTTAAACTATTCTTTCCAGTGTGCTGAGCACACAAACATTTTAACAGCACAGTCTCTACTTCTGAAAGCTGAAACCACTGTCTAAATTGCTCAAGTGAGCTGAGCGATTACTACAGAACAAGCAAATGGTTTTCTTCAAACAGTTACAAGCAGTGGTTGACATTAAGCTTCCAAAGTACCCTGCATTAAAATTTGCAAATAGAGATGTCTAACAGACACTGTATGACATTGCTCCACCTCTTACCCTGCCCCTACAGTGTGAAATACCCGTCTGAAATAATGCCAGAGGCTGACATACATGCAAACTATTCCAAATACAAGTTAACAATATGACAGATTTCTAAGTGATCACCATCTGCATTTCCTGGAAGAACAACGTTTATTTACAGGTCCCAAATCTATCAATATTTGATTTGACTGCTTACCTTTCCACTATCTTCTCTTGTATCTCTGCTTTCTGTATGGATCCTGAATGGGAAACTACAGGAGCAGCTGTAGTTTTGCTGTCAAAGAAGTCTATAAGAAAGGACAGAAGCCTATGAACAAAAAGAACAACTGTTCAAGCTTCTTTATAAAATTCTGACTAGACAAGAATTTCAATTAATACTTTACTGAATCAAGGGAAGAACAGACAGACATTATTTCGTCTGACAGCCTCAAACAATTATAACATAAAACCAATAAGCACGCTGAGAAACCACCACACAATAAAAAACTAGCAAAGAATCTCCTTTCTCTACACATGCTAACCAGCTAATAGCAATAATTAGAAAAATAAATGAAAACCCTTCCATCGTCAGTTAAAACACAACTTCTCCTTACTGAATTACTTACTATTTCAGTCAGCATTACCTGCAGGCAGAGAATTAGCTATTACTTCTTGAGTTGGAGGTGGAATTTCAGTTTTATGCATAACCGAAGATTTGTTTGATTGATCTTGTTCTTCCTCTTCCTCTTCATCATCATCGTAATTTCCTGACAATAAACTGGGACCTGGACCCTTTGAAAGCTGTTCGTTTGCCCTATCTTGCTCTGTTTCATCAAAAAAATCTGCTGGTAGCCTAGTAAAGAACACACAACATAATTATTTCAAACTTCACAAGAATCAGTTACAGTCTAGCATCCGATGCCTATTCAGCCTGTGAGCAATACAGTTTTTTAGATACAGTGCAATACCCTAAACTGCATAGCTACCCACGTAACCACTGATTGAAAGCAGCATGTGCTTGTTTGCCTTCATTTGAAGTTCCCCAGAAATGCTCAGGTTAATTCTGAAAACACATTTCAGTTCCACTTTCGTATTTGAGTATTCAATATCAGAAACATTAATAAAAATATCCCAAAACAAAGTGCATTTGGAGGAATGGCAGCTTAGGTGATTCTATCTCCGCATTCAAAGTTACTTGCATCAGTATACCTGCTGTGAACACATTCAATACAAAATTAATAGTTCAGCAGTCACACTAATGTCATATAAACCTTGATAACCTTCATGTATAACACAACTACTTACTTGGGGGACCTACTGCTGCTCAGAACTGCAGCTTAGAAGAGCCACACAGGTTCAGCAATGAGAAAACCCAGATTTGCTTATAATAGCTGCAAGCCTCCAAGGCAAACATTTTTCCAGGTTATACTTTAAAATAATCATACCGATCAGTTTAATACTGAACAAATCTCTCAACTGTTAATTTTTCACACACACTCAGAATTTCTACAAGGTAAGTGTTTTCTACTATCAAGGTAAACAGCATGTAGTAGCTATGCAAGATAATAATAATTTATCCTGTGAAGAAGCATACAGAGGACCTGCAGGCCTCCTGTGACATCTACCAACCCCACAAAGATGTCCAAATACCACCAGAAATCTTTAGTGGCAGTAAGATGCTTAACCGAATCGAAGTCAAATACACTCCTATATATTTGTGAGAGTTCTAACCGCATGAGATGCATTTACACGAATTTTAAGTGACAAAAACATCTTAATAAAGATCTGTTGATGACATTTGTTAGTAGTTTCTGTGAATAAATATAGTTTAAATGTACATTTAAGTATACATTTAAAATTTGTCTTAATTTCAAGACTACCATCTCTTCTGCAGTATGCTAACATTAAAGATTAGAGTGCATGCCACGATCTAGTTATTTTCATTCTAGCAAACTGCATAGTACCACCACATATTAATCCTTAAAACTCTGATAGTGACAGTAAAAGAATTTCTGTTTTGTCAGAGACTCTAGAGTTAATACCATGATTTTCTCATCTGCACTGAGGAAGATGCTGCCATGTTCAGGAATACACACCTTTGTTAGAAAATGAGCAGAAGCAGGAATCTGCTGATTCTCTGAATCTTTACCCTTGGCTAGGAAGGACAGACAAGGAAAACCAGCAGTTTTTACCAACAGAGAATGCAGCAGTTGGTACAGTTACAAAAAACTCGTACGTAATAAGATCTACTTACCCAGATGTAGACGTATGTGGTTTTTCGTCTGTACCTGTGTAACAGCCAAGAGTCACTTCTTACAATCCATGCTTTTAACAGAAACATCCCTCAAACAAACTCCTACTACAGCAACAAGTTCACAGATGCACACTTCCACATATTTTATATTTACATGTTTAGTAGCACCAAAGGCAAAAAAATTAACTATCATTAGCATAAACTTTTATGCATGGTTTGAGATAAACCAGTGGCTTGATCCCACTAAAAAGGACTAACACCATTTCTGGGCAAGTGCTTCTACTGTTTAACTTGCACTGTTTCTGGTTCTGTTTGGACCAAGCCCACAGCTCCATGACCTAATTTAACCCAATAACCCAGAAGAAAACTAGGTAAACTACCAAAACTGCAGTTCTCTCCTGATCAGAAAACTCAAAGAAAGAGCAAGACAGACTTTTTCCCTTTTCAGCAGCAACAGGCTGACATTAACTCAACAGCCTTGTGTATTCACACTCACTTCCACGGGAAAAAAAACCCAAACCAAAGACATTCAAGATGTAAAATGTCTAGATTCTGGCAAGTGCTCGATAAGTATTTTTCTCTCCTTACCTTTTACTTTCTTTAACTCTGTATTTTCTGTGTCAACAGTTTTTCTCTTGACAGGATGAGATGATGTGCTAGCAGCTGAACCAGTTGCTGTCTGCTTTGTGCCTTTTAATTCTGCAACTCTCTGTAAAGAAGTACAAAATTCAGGATTGCAGCTTAAAATACAGAGCTTTTAGAACAGTTTATTAAAGTGAGCTAATGTCTTTCTAGAGCAATATCACTGAAATAGACATCATGAATACCAAAACCAAGACTGATGTTTCTGTCAGCCTCTTGAATGATGTGACATGGGGGCAGAGGAATTGACACTTGCACAAGGGAGGTTGCACTAGTGAGAAAGGAAAGACCAAGACCAGTAACATTTACAGCCGTAAGACACTGGAGGAAAGAGCAGGAAGGCTGGACTCATCCTAAGGTCCTGGAATATTAAGTGTTTTAAAATTAAAACACAGCAGTAGTATTAAAGACATGTCACTGTGCCTTCCCATGATGATCCACTCAGAATGCAGGCAATGAACTAGGCACCCCCTCAGTTCTTTTGGTCTTCTCAGTACTCGGAAAATTAAATGCAATCTCTCAGTTTCTGCTAAGAAGCAGCAGCAGAATTTAAAAGGGTAAAAAAAAACACACTTAAGGTTGCATCCAAGTTAAAAGCTCGCTGAAAATGTTTTACAAATTCTTATCTGCTAAATTATGAAGAAAAAAGCGCGTATTTTCTCAACCACGTGTAAGCTGTCACTTGGTAACATACAGGTAACAAAGCAATCCCAAGGAGGGTTTCCAAGTCCGAGCTGCAGACAAGTGACAGTTAAAAGCTGTCGCTAAACGTGGGAACAGCTTCATCCCAAGAGCACGACCCCCGAAAGCCGCAGGCCCACTCTCTCAGGGGCCGGCCTTTCAATCGGTACGTAGGTGTTCAGAAAACGAAACGGGACGAAGCAACCAGGCTTGTTTTCACACAACTCTCTCCCGGCAGATGCTCAACGGTGACCTACTGGCGCACACCTCAAAAAGCAGCA